GTGGTACCAGCTACTCAGGAGGGCTGAGGTGGGACAACTGCTTGAGCTCTAGAGGTTGAGGCTGCAGTAAGCCATGATCATGCCACTGTACTCCAGCCTGGGCAACAGAGTGAGACCCTGTCTCAAAAAGGAAAAAAAGATATTTATTTTTACAGTTGGGCTCTTACTCTGTCATCCAGGATGGAGTGTAGTGTCATGATTATAGCTCACTGCAGCCTTGAACTCTGGGGCTCAAGGAATCCTCCCACCTCAGCCTCCCAAGTAGCTGGGACTACAGGTATGTGCTGCCATGCCCAGCTAATTTTTTTATTTGTAGAGATGGGGGTCTCACTGTGTTGCCTAGGCTGGTCTTGAACTTCTGGCCTCAGGCAATCCTCCTGCCTCAGCCTCCCAAAATGTTGGAATTATAGGCAAGAGCCACCATGCCTGGCCTATACTCAGTACTTTCAAGTTAGGGGTTACTCACAAAAATTCCTGAAAACAGCTAACATTTAATCAGGGATCAATGTATGTCAACAATCCAATGATTTTGGTATTATTTCTCTCTCTCTCTCCCCCTCTCTCCATATGAGGAAACTGAGTCATAGTTTAGTGGCTTGCCTAAAATGACATAGCAAGAAACAAAAGAGCTGGGATTTGAACCTGATGTTGGCCCTTGTATTCTTAACCATTATGATAACAGGCTAAGAAATCTTAGAATTACAGATGCTAAGTAACTTACCTAAAAAATTTAAAAAAATTTTTTCTTTTTGTTAGTATGCAAGGACCTAAGATCATAGTGCAGTGCTGAGACTAGAACCCAAGTATTTTCAAAGCCTATGCTCATAAATTATTTGGCATACTGCTTCTCCTACTTGAAAAGTCAGTACTTGGCCAGGTGAGGTGGCTCACGCATGTAATCTCATTACTTTGGGAGGCTGGGGCGATCACATGAGGTCAGGAGTTGGAAACCAGCCTGGCCAATATGGCGAAACACTGTCTCTACTAAAAATACAAAAATTAGCTGGGCGTGGTGGCAGGCACCTGTAATCCCAGCTACTGGGGAGGCTGAGGCAGGAGAATCGCTTGAACCTGGGAGGCGGAGGTTGCAATGAGCTAAGATCACGCCATTGCACTCTAGTCTGGGGAACAAGAGTGAGACTGTCTCAAAAAAAAAAAAAAGTCAGTACTAAGCTCATACTGGGTGCTGATACAGTTTAAAACTGCAAATCCAGTTTACCGAAATTGGAGAATATCAGATCCCCTTCCAAGAGAGGCATAACTGTAGCTTACTGGGTTAACTCACCTTTTATATTAACGGTCTAGTCTTATGAACCAATTAAGTTTGTAGTTTCTGCATTCTTCCTGTGACACTGAAGACTGTGTTTTCATCAATGTGAAAACCATGTTATCTAAGCTAAATCAAAATCCACTCTTATTCACGAATTTATTCTTCCTTTTATTTATCAACACCAGTGACATGTTCCTAAGTTCTCTGCCTTTGTGGCTCCTTTGTTCCCAGTGTGAGATGTCTTATTTCTGAAAGTAACCTGTCATTGACAAGCCTTCTTGGCTATTCTATAGTTTACCCTAAAAAAAAATCTTTTCTCTCCATAGGCTTATTAGACCGCTTTTCCTTACACGGTACTCTGCTTTTCTCCTTTATTTCAAGCATTTATTGAAACTAAACTATGTACCAAGCATATACAAAATGGATATAACCTAACACATTGAAGGCCACACTTTCAAAGAAATAGTCTTGGTGTTTAGACATTTTGACTAGAATATTATTTCCTTAACAATCTGCATAAAACCATCCCTGCTCAGTTTGTAATTATACACCAAAATATTGAGCCCAATCTCAGTAGCTACTTCTACAGCACATCATATAAAGTGAATTGCTGGAGCCAGCTCATTAGATCTTACTCCAAAGATTTTTACCAACACCTTGGCCCTCTTTTGCTGACAAAAAGGGTTCTTAAGCCTTTTAATAGCTTTATGACTTCCTTATTAGAGTTCATCCACTAACATATCCTGTTAATAAAATGAACTGCCCATCTTTCTTGGGAAACACTCTGGAAAATATTTCCTGATTTCACAGCATAGCTTTGTCTCTGGATTAGTACTCATCTAATACGAAACTGAGAATCAAACATCCCTGGAATATTTTGTAAAATATGAGTATTTTTTCAAATGTCTTCAAGGATATAAACAATTCAAAATTTAAGTATTTGAGTAGTACTCTATCATATTTTTATTGCAGTGATATTTTCTGAAGAAATCTGAAGTCTGGAGTAACTATGGGCCATAAAATATGATCATCTTGCACCAATAAATGGAGCAAAGTTCAAATCTGGACCATCAGAAAAAGACAACAGGAACATTTCTAAACTAAATCTGATTGCCTTGAGGAAAGAAGGTACTGAAGCTGTTAGAGTATATCTTTGAAGGACTGAAGCAAGTCCTTCACTCCTGGAAAAAAAAAATCAAATCAATCATACAGATAAATATCTTAGTTACAGGGGAGAAAAAACAGAGATGACTAAGCTAAAAAAATCTCCTTCTGGCTTATATCTTTTCTAGGCAGTGCTGTTCCTGATAAGACACATGACACAACATATGGTTTTGTTGAATATCAAGGTAAGTTAGGGAAAATAATAGTTTTTTAAATAGGAAAATTAGACGACAACAGCAACAGGTAAGGAAGCTTTGGGCTTCTGAGGTAGAAATATCAGCACCCCTATGTAAGCATGGTAATAATCTGAAAATGGTACAACTGCTGGCCTGCTATAGCCTGTCTCTACCAGAAACAGAGAGAAAAGCATTGCAATCCAGCAGAAGTAGCCCTTCAAAGTCTAATGAGGAGCATTTTATCAGATATCAATAAATGAGCCCTCACTGAATACAAAGGCAATACATTAGGTGCTGAGTGATCAACTTCAAAGGACTTCCTGCTATTCTGAAATTTAAAGCTGTATTCTCATTTCCTCAAGCCTGTATATTTTACATAATGAAACAAAATACACATCTCTCGCAGCAGTATAAGGGTAAACAGAGGACCTTTCCCACCAAAAATTGTGCCAAGAACCCTTCCCCTTCAGCCTTTTGCTATAGAAATATCCTTCTGCTTCCCCGAAAACAGTATAAGCTTTCTTTAGCAAGTGGAATATCACCGTTACTCTCTCCCTTACTCTGCTTCACTTTTTTTGCATAACGCTTAAGATTACCTGACAGTTTACATATTTATCAAGTTTCTCCCAACTAGAATATAAGCTTCATGAGGAGAGAGATTTCAAATATTTTATTTACAGATGTATTCCCGGTATCTAGAACTGTATTTAGCATGTAGCAGATTATAAAAAAAATTGTAAAATTAATAAAAATTTAAAATCCGATCGCTTCTCAGCCTTTTGGCTAAGATCAAGTGTAGTAAAAATTTTAAATCCCTATTATATTGGAATTGTTAAAAACAATTTTTATGCCAGGGTTTCTTTGTTGCCCAAGCTGGAGTACAGTGGCTGATCACAGCTCACTGTAGCCTCGAATTCCTGACCTCAAATGATCCTCCCACCTCAGCCTCCTGAGTAGGCTGGACTACAGGTGTGTGCCACCACACCTGGTTATTTTCTTTTCTTTTCTTTTTTTTTTTTTTTTTGTAGAGATGGGGATCTTGCTATGTTGCCCAGGCTGGTCTCAAACTCCTGGGCTCAAGGGATTCTCCTGCTTTGGCCTCCCAAGTGCTGGGATTTACAGGTGTGAGCCACTATGCCTAGCCAAATTTTAAAATTTTGCCACATCGAACCAGGCACAGTGGCTCACGCCTGTAATCCCAGAACTTTGCGAGGCTGAGGCAAGTGGATCACAAGGTCAGGATTTCAAGATGAGCCTGGCCAATATGGTGAAACCCCGTCTCTACTAAAAATACAAAATTAGCCAGGTGTGGTGGTGCGTGCCTGTAGTCCCAGCTACTCAGGAGGCTGAGGCAGGAGAATCACTTGAACCTGGGAGGCAAAGGTTGCAGTGAGTTGAGACTGCACCACTGCACTCCAGCCTGGGCAACAGACCGAGACTCTGTCTCAAAAAAACAAAACAAAACAAAACAAAACAAAACAAAACAAAAACCATCTCTACTAAAAAAAAAATACAAAAATAAAATAAAATTCGCCAGGCGTGGTAGTGCATATCTTTAATCCCAGCTACTCAGGAGGTTGAAGCAGGAAAACCACTTGAACCTGGGAGGCAGAGGTTGCAGTAAGCCAAGATGGCATGGTGACAGAGTGAAACTCCATCTCAAAAAAAAAAATTATTTAGTAAAGTTGTTTTCCTCCTTAAATTATTGCCTGCAAGATCGAAACAGAGTCTCTCATTTCTATTTTGGGATCTGACTGAGTCACAAGGTAGTCTTGGCAAATAACTCTGCTCTATCTCTCAGTTTACTGAGGCTGCCTGGGAACTTGACCTGTCAGCCAAACAGGAAGAAGGGCCCTTCTGCCTAACTCCAAAAGGCCTAAGTCAAATGGATATGGTGAGATTTAATGATGGATCTAAATTACAGCAAATGGATTTCCTATGAGGGGGGAAGCAAGCATTTTATTTAATTTCCTCTATATAATTCGGGGCTGGTAGAAAGGGTAGACTATTACAATGTAGCTGAGCAAATTTTTCCATGTTTGCATAACATGTGTTTTCAACTAAAGATATTCCTATATTCCTACTATATACAATACCCCCCAAAAACCTCAAATGTAAGAAAAAGCAATGTGACAGATTTGACCCTGGCCAAGTTATACTTTTTTTTTTTTAAAGTGTGTAAACATGTAAACTACAAAGCCTCTTTTTCTTTTTCAAGGATGGGTACAAAGTGATACTCTCCCCTTCCCACCAGATACTCTTATTTTTGCCCCCTATCTGGTCATGAATTCCTCCTGGGTGCACCCTCCCTAAAGTGTCCTGTGTTTTGGTGGTTATAATTTCCCACATCCCATGATGCCCCTGGATAGAATTAATCTTTCTGTACTCACACAAATGGAAACAGAAGAGATGAAAAACCCTGGGGATGTGGCCTCGCAGGTCTCAAAATCATCGGCTGCTAAGCGCAACGTGCACTTCTCCGCCTCTCTTCTTGGCTGAGTTCCTTTCTTGGCTCAGAGTTAGATGTTGCATAGCCTAGGAGGCTTAGGACCCAGGGGGCGCCTTTCAGCTGAAAAACAGTTCTCGCTGCAGCAAGCTAGCTGGGAAGCTCCCAGTTCTAAAAAGAGGCTGTTTACCCGAAGAGCATAACAAGGGTAGGTCTGACTGCAAGGCTGGGACTGGAAGGCAGAGCCGCTGCCAAGGAGGCCCCGGTTGGACACTGGTCGTTCAATCCCCTGCAAGACGAAGGAGGCAAGGATGTTGCTGGCCTGGGTGCAGGCATTCCTCGTCAGCAACATGCTCCTGGCAGAAGCCTACCGATCTGGAGGTGAGATCACAGTCTTTCCTTTCCGCAGCAAAACTTCATGGAGCAGAAGGGGTGAAGTCTCCTATTTCCCAAACAGGACAGGACACAAAGCGTTTAGCTGGTTTCTGTGGTCCTGTGAACGCTTTTCCACCCCTCTTTTCCTTGCCAGGCTCTTGCAGCTCCATCTTTGCCATTAAGAACAAAGGCAAGAAGCCACTTTCTCTTTGCCTTTCCTTGCTCATGAGTGGATGGAGCTTGGGGGTTCATCTCCCCTACGCCCCAAGTCCTATTCTTTCTGAGCCTCTTGCATGGTGTGGACCTCCTTCCCCAGCCTCCTCCTGTGACTCTCCTGCAGAGGGGAATGGGAGCTCGGTGTCTCATTCAAGCAGCGATAAAGCCGGTTCACTCCGTTGGAGGCTCTCTCGAATCTTTTGCCTGACTGAATCAAGGCTCCTGGAGAATACTCTTTGGAGAGAGTATTGCCTATTAAACGGGCAGAAGGTGGCCGTATCCGCGGAGGAGGGAACACCGGAGTTTACGTAACATGGCTTCACAGGGATAAATGTCAGGTTTGGGTGCCCACCGTCCCAAAACTCCCATCTTCTCAAAGGGACCCTAAGCCAGGCCTCCTCCGCTCCATCTCCTCTTCCGACGTGGTCACAAGTTACTCTTGAGAGTAACCACCATTTGCACTTCGACAGCTTTCCGGCTTTCAAAAAAAAAACAAAAACAAAAACAAAAAACACCTAACAGTCTCTTGCGTTGACTGAGGGCCAGGCACAGGTTAGGGGCTTCACAGGCGCTTGCTTTCCTTCTCTGTTGGGCCTCACAGGAACCCTCTGAGGTGCATGTCGGGTGTGGGGTAGGGGGCGTGGGGGTGTTGTCAAGACAGGAGACGGTGGCCCAGCAGGGCCCGGGGTCCGTTAGCCAGGCTGGGACTCGGCCCGGGTGACCCCGGCTACCCTGCCCCGCACGCTGGGCGTCTTCCGTTCGCTGCCCGTTACTCTGTGTCCGGGGGCTTCTCTTCCGCACAGGCTGTTTGTGGGACAACGACCACCTGTACCGGGCTGACCAGCTCTCCCCTGCGCCGGGCCTCCGCTGCCTCAACTGGCTGGACGTGCAGAGCCGGCTGGCCTCGGCCCCCGTGTTGGGTAAGTGTCGTTAGGGGGACCGCGGCGGCGGCGGCGGCGGCGGCGGGGTTGGCGGGCGGCCTCCGCCGTCCAGGTCCCAGCCCCGGCACACGTTTCCTTCTCTCCTCTCTTAGGCGCCGGCAATCACAGTTATTGCCGAAACCCGGACGAGGACCCGCGCGGGCCCTGGTGCTACGTCAGTGGCAAGGCCGGCGTCCCTGAGAAACGGCCTTGCGAAGACCTGAGCTGTCCAGGTACCCCCCGGGACCCCGGGAATCCCCGCGCCGGGGGCTGACAGGGAGCGGCAGATGCCCGTCGTGCACGTGCGGCCGCGCGAGGCCGGCCGGCCCCGCCCCGCCCCCGCCCCGCCCCCGCGCCGTCCGATTGGCCAGGACTATCTCCAGGCCGCGGGGCTCAAAGCCTATTGGCCGCCGTCGCCGCTCGTGTGAGCTCATCCGCCGCGAGCGCTTGTAAACAACCGCGTGGGGCTGGGTCTCTCCGCTGCGCGCGCTGAGGAATGGCTTTTGGCCCCTCGATCTTTATGACTGTTTTGTGGAGCGACTGCAATGCGCTAGGCACCCTTCTCACAACCCCCGCTCGCCACCTCCCCCGACACACCCCGCGAGAAGAAGCCGTTTGGGGCATCTGAGCTTCAGAGAAGTTAAGCGATTTACCAAAGGCAATGGCAGGGGACAGATTTGAATCCACGTTTCTTAGATTCCAAAGCGCAGGCTTTTTGCTCCCAAGGCAGCAAGACAGTTTTCTAGGATTGGAGGGGTTAATCAAAGTAAAGCACTTCTTTTCTTTTTCTTTCTCTCGCTTTTTTTTTTTTTTTGTGACTGTCATTCTGTCACTCAGGCTGGAGTGCAGTGGTCCGATCTCGGCTCACTGCCACTTCCGCCTCCCAGGTTGCAGTGATTCTTCTGCTTAAGCCTACCCAGTGGCTGGAATTACAGCCGTTCACCACCACGCCCGGCTAATTTTTATATTTTTAGTAGAGCTTGGGGTTACACCATGCTTGCCAAGCCGCTCTCGAACTCCTCATCTCAGGTGATCGCCCACCTCGGCCTCTCAAAGTGCCGTGAGCCACCGCGCCTGGCACAAAATAAAGCATTTCACCTAAGGATTCGCACAGAGCGTGCACTTAAATGTGGGCTGCTCAAAGGAAGCATGGGCTGTTTCCTGGAGTGGAGGTCGGGGGATCCCCTGCAGAAGACGGCAACCGAGCAGGATTTGAACAGATGAAGACGTGGAAGGCAGGAGAGAGGCCCTTCCCTACGGCCTTCCCTTCTCATTTGCCTTGTCCCTGAGATGGTGCAGCCCTCTCAGGCCTGATTTTGCCTGTAGGGCAGAGTTTGACTTTAGGTTGTGTGCGTAGGGAGGCATTCTTAGGTGACCCACCTCCATCTCCCCTAACACTCGGACCAGGTTCAGCTGTGGAATTCACTCAGGGCAGGTCCTGATGAAAACTGTTTCTCACCTCATCTCCAGAGACAACCTCCCAGGCCCTGCCAGCCTCCACGACAGAAATTGAGGAAGTGTCTGAAGGGCCAGGTGCAGATGAGGTGCAGGTGTTCGCTCCTGCCAACGCCCTGCCCGCCCGGAGTGAGGCGGCAGCTGTGCAGCCAGTGATTGGGATCAGCCAGCGGGTGCGGATAAACTCCAAGGAGAAGAAGGACCTGGGCACTCTGGGTATGACGGCCCCTGACCCCTGCCCTTGTTGGGATTCATCAAGAGATGGCATTTGTTGATTGTGTGGGGTTTGGCTAATGGGACCTTGTGTCCTGTCCTTGGCAGGCTACGTGCTGGGCATTACCATGATGGTGATCATCATTGCCATTGGAGCTGGCATCATCTTGGGGTACTCCTACAAGAGGTCAGTAGTAGCTTCTCTTCTGGGTCCTCTTGAGAGGAGGAGGGGAGGAAGGTACACAAAGTCAAATCAAACTTTGTGGCTTTCTTACCCAAAAGGAAGCAAGATGTTAAAAATCAGCTTAAGATGTAGAGACTTGGTCCTAGTCTTTATCCGCTGACCTTGGACAAACCGTTTCCTTTGGTGCCTCTACACCTCACTTTAAAAGCCTTGTGAGGTGTGGGTTCTTGTACCCCATTTTACAAACGAAGAAGCCTCTGTCAGAGACTTGGCCAAAGTCACACTCTGGGAGTGGCAGAACCTGGAGTCAGACCCAGCTCTTTTGATTGCAAATTCCCTGCTGTGTGATCCAACATGCCTGACATTGAAGTGAGTGGCACTGCAGAAATCAGGCTCAACAATGATTAGCAGGGACTTTGAGACTGAAATCTTTCTGTGAGCTCTAAAATTCTGCCACTAGAAAAGGTTTCCAGCCACTGTTTTTTTTGCAGTTGGGACTTAAATTTCCTGAGCTATAAGCAGTGAGGCTCCTTTGCTAGGGAAGAAAAAAGTGAGTTGGAGAACAGAAAAGTTTGTTTGCCACTCTTCACCGCATGTGAGAAAGCCAAAGAGACTACCTGTGAAACTCAAGGTCATGACCTGTGGCTGGGACAGCAGGAGAAGAAGAATGCTGATTTCGTAAAGTCCCGTGAGATGCCAGTCAGTGACTGGTGCATGATGGTAAACCAGACTGACATTCATCTTTATAGTATTGGCTGATTCTGGAAAATTATTTGCTATTCTTGGGCAAAATCAGGAGGTTTGACTTCTAGCCCTGGGTGTCTAATATTCTCCTCTATGTTCTGAGAAATCGTTCAGTGAAGAAAGTGACACAGTAGCCTGCATTTATCCTTCCTTCTTTCCTTCCCTTCCCTCTTCCCTCCCTCCCTCCCCTTTCTTTTGTTTCCTTCCTTTCTTTGATTTTACTTTTTTTTTTTTTGAGACGGAGTTTCGCTCTTGTTACCCAGGCTGGAGTGCAATGGCACGATCTCGGCTCACTGCAACCTCCGCCTCCTGGGTTCAGGCAATTCTCCTGCCTCAGCCTCCTGTAGCTGGGATTACAGGCACGCGCCACCATGCCCAGCTAATTTTTTGTATTTTTAGTAGAGACGGGGTTTCACCATGTTGACCAGGATGGTCTCCATCTCTCGACCTCGTGATCCACCCGCCTCGGCCTCCCAAAGTGCTGGGATTACAGGCTTGAGCCACTGCGCCCGGCGATTTTACTTTTTTTTTTTTCAGGGTCTCACTCTGTTTGCTAGGCTTGAGTGCAGTGGTACAATCACGGCTCACAATCACAGCTGCCTGTAGTCCCAGCTACTCGGTGGGGGTGGATTCCCCCCATCCACCCCCACCGAGTAGCTGGGACTACAGGCATATTCTATCATGCCTGGCTGATTTTTAAATTTTTTGTGGAGACAGGGTCTTACTATGTTGCTCAGGCTAGTCTCGAACTCCTTGGCTCAAGCGATCCTCCTGCCTCAGCCTCTCAAAGCTTATAGGCATGGATCACCATGCCTGGCATGCAGCCTGCATTTTCTAGAGGTGAGGTCCATGTCTGAGCCCACAGCCTCAGTGGATCACCCAGCAGGGCACCTTTGGAGGCCTTGTAGTCAACCTTCTCATTACAGATGAGAAAGGGGAAGTGCTGGATATAAAAACAGCAGTAGCCAACATTTGCCATATGCCAGATACTGCTTCAAGCACATGCTTAAACTCATTTCTCATAATCACCCTTATGAGGTAAATGCTGTTATCTCCAGTTTACAGATGAGGAAACTGAGGCAATAGGGGATTATATACCTTATCCAAGGTTGCACTCCTAGCATTTGGTGGAGAGAAGTCCTCTAACTAGCTATCTCTGTGACCTTAGGCAAATTGCTTTGATTTCCTACTCCAGATCATTGTGTGGAGCTAAGGCTTGTGACTACTTAGCTCAGGGTATGGCACATAGTAAGTGGTCAGTAAGTGATAGCTGTTTTTCTTTTCTGTAAAATGTGTGGACGGGCAGGGTGGCTCATGCCTGTAATCCTAGCACTTTGGGAAGCCAAGGTGGGCAAATTACGAGGTCAGGGGTTTGAGATCAGCCTGGCCAACATAGTGAAACGCTGTCTCTACTAAAAATACAAAAAATTTACCGGGCGTGGTGGTGGGTACCTGTAATCCCCAGCTACTTGGGAGGCTGAGGCAGGAGAATGCTTGAACCCGGGAGGGGGAGGTTGCAGTAAGCTGAGATCACACCAACGCATTCCAGCCCAGGTGACAGTGCAAGACTCCGTCTCAAAAAAAGAAAAAAAGTGGATAATGGGCCAGGCGCAATGGTTCACACTCATAATCCTAGCACTTTGGGAGGCTGAGGTGGGTGGATCTTTTGAGCCCAATAGTTCAAGACCACTGTAGGCAACATGGCGAAACCCTGTCTCTAAGAAAAAATACAAAAATTAGTCAGGCATGGTGGTGGGGGCCTGTAGTCCTAGTTATTAACAAGGCTGAGGTGCGAGGATCACCTGAGCCTGCGAGGTCAAGGCTGTGGTGAGCTGTGATCATGCCACTGCACTCCAGCCTGGGTGACAGGGTGAGAGCCTGTCTCAAAAAAAAAAAAGTGGGTAATAGACTAGTGCTCTCTGGTCTCTTGTGATTGTGACCCAGGAAGCAGATGTCCAGACAGGGTAACTACTGACTTGAGAGGACATCCTGACTCCCAGTCTGAGGTTGTTTCCCACAATGGGATGGTTGACATAGTGGGTCCAGAGATACCTGCTTATTCATTTTAGAGTTAATGATGTAGTGGCCCTGGCCTTACAGTTCATAAGCAGACCTAAGCCATGTTGGCTGAGTTTAGTCCTTGAAATATTTCCTTCTTCCTCAGCCACTGGATGGCATTTGGCTGTCCTCCAATTCTGTGACAGTTTCCAGGCCTTCCAGG